TTCAAGCCTCCAACCCGCGTGTGTCTGAGGTCCCGACAGCCAGTGCGGACATCACCACCGAGTATATGCGGGATACCCGCACTGCCTGGGGGCGAGGAATGGAGATGCGTGGATGTGTGCCTGACAAGGACCTCGTCAGTGATCCGTATGTCCAGATTTCCACTTGGCTTCGACCTCCCAAGGCGCCAGGGCGGTTTGAGTAGAATCGCCAGGGGGTGTGTGCCGCTCCTGAACATCGATGGAGCGTACTCCGACGTGACAGCCCGCAGTATGCTGGAGGAGGAAGCTGTCGCGTGGCTCTGTGGCTACGTGGGGCTGGTGTCCACTCACATATACAGTGAGGGAAAAAAAGTATTTGATCCCCTGCTGATTTTGTACGTTTGCCCACTAACACAGAAATGATCAGTCTATAATTTTAATGGTAGGTTAATTTGAACAGTGAGAGACAGAATAACAACAAAAAAAATCCAGAAAAACGCATGTCAAAAATGTTATAAATTGATTTGCATTTTAATAAGGGAAATAAGTATTTGACCCCCTCTCAATCAGAAAGATTTCTGGCTCCCAGGTGTCTTTAATACAGGTAACGAGCTGAGATTAGGAGCACACTCTTAAAGGGAGTGCTCTTAATCTCAGCTTGTTACCTGTATAAAAGGCACCTGTCCACAGAAGCAATCAATCAACCAGATTCCAAACTTTCCATCATGGCCAAGACCAAAGAGCTCTCCAAGGATGTCAGGGACAAGATTGTAGACCTACACAAGGCTGGAATGGGCTACAAGACCATTGCCAAACAGCTTGGTGAGAAGGTGACAACAGTTTGTGCGATTATTCGCAAATGGAAGAAACACAAAAGAACTGTCAATCTCCCTCGGCCTGGGGCTCCATGCAAGATCTCACCTCGTGGAGTAGCAATGATCATGAGAACGGTGAGGAATCAGCCCAAAACTACACGGGAGGATCTTGTAAATGATCTCAAGGCAGCTGGGACCATAGTCACCAAGAAAACAATTGGTAACACACTACGTCGTGAAGGACTGAAATCCTGCAGTGCCCGCAAAGTCCCTCTGGCTCAAGAAAGCACATATGCATGCCTGTCTGAAGTTTGCCAATGAACATCTGAATGATTCAGAGGACAACTGGGTGAAAGTGTTGTGGTCAGATGAGACCAAAATGGAGCTCTTTGGCATCAACTCAACTCGCCGTGTTTGGAGGAGGAGGAATGCTGCCTATGACCCCAAGAACACCATCCCGACCGTCAAACATGGAGGTGGAAACATTATGCTTTGGGGGTGTGTTTCTGCTAAGGGGACATGACTTCACCACATCAAAGGGACGATGGACGGGGCCATGTACCGTCAAATCTTGGGTGATTACCTCCTTCCCTCAACCAGGGCATTGAAAATGGGTCGTGGATGGGTATTCCAGCATGACAATGGCCCAAAACACACGGCCAAGGCAACAAAGGAGTGGCTCAGGAAGATGCACATTAAGGTCCTGGAGTGGCCTAGCCAGTCTCCAGGCCTTAATCCCATAAAAAAATCTGTGGAGGGAGCTGAAGGTTCGAGTTGCCAAACGTCAGCCTCCGAACCTTAATGACTTGGAGAAGATCTGCAAAGAGGAGTGGGACATAATCCCTCCTGAGATGTGTGCAAACCTGGTAGCCAACTACAAGAAACGTCCGACCTCTGTGATTGCCAACAAGGGTTTTGCCACCAAGTACTAAGTCATGTTTTGCAGAGGGGTCAAATACTTATTTCCCTCATTAAAATGCAAATCAATTTATAACATTTTTGACATGCGTTTTTCTGGATTTTTTGTTGTTATTCTGTCTCTCATTGTTCAAATAAACCTACCATTAAAATTATAGACTGATCATTTCTTCGTCAGTGGGCAAACGTACAAAATCAGCAGGGTATCAAATACTTTTTTCCCTCACTGTAGTATTGACATGTGTATTTAATTATTGATTCATCTCCCTTGCGTGGCTGGTGTTCTAACTATATGGTAGTCACGTGTAAAAGCATTCGCTAAATAAAGAAATAAACAACTGGCTTGAGCAAACCGCTTGAACAAGCCACGGCGAGCGGGACACCGGCACGGCTTCTGTTTGCCTGGTTTCAAAACGAACGCTTATACCCAAGGCTCACCCGAAAGGTCCGGCCGTGAATGCATTGATGCAATTTCCTTGCAGCGATGAACGCGACTCGCGAGGCAATTTTGAGACCCCGACGTGCAGTGGGAAGTGGGTGGGGGGGAAGCGGTCACCCCCCGCCGTGCACAAATTAACGGGCGAGAGGAGGGGACGCCGTGGCACGGAGTGGAGACGAAAGAAGGGAGGCCGGGAACGACATTCAGTCGCCAGAGTTCAGTCGGACAGGCGAGACATGCTGCCGGCATACGCCGCCACAGTTACCGCCAAACGCCACACCACAGACACTACTGCTCTCCCCATGTAGCGCCACAAGCCGTATATGACAAGCTGTTTGCGCTTGGGGTTTTCCCATCCAAGCACTGGCCAGGCTCATGACATCGGCGCCTTCTTGGTTATTTGATTTGCCCAGCGATGATGTCACACCGTGCGTTCAACATGACGCAACGGTCACCTACGGCAGACCGCAACCTAAGTGTGGATGCCACTTGAAACTGTTCGGTTTGGCAAAGAATCAGACTCCCAATTCGCAGGGCATTCCATAAACCACATCGCAAGATCGCGTGAGTGCTTGGGTAAACATCGGCCTGACCTTGTCGCCAAGGTCAGGCCGATGCATCGCACAGTGGGTAAGGAGCCATCGCTATCGCTGCTATACCTTCTGGATCTGATACAGCAGCAGCAAACAGCCTTGCTCCAGGGAAAGCAAAGTTAAATACTTCCCCAGAATAAACACCATGCTAACAGATGCAGCCTCAAAATTGAAACTGGCAGTCTGAACTAAACTAAAAAAAATTATTTTTATTTTACCAGGTAAGGCCCACTGAGCTATACAGCTCTTTTTCAGAAGCTACCTGGCCACAAATGATAGCTCAACGAAGTAGCTGATTATGTGGAAATTCATAGCAGCCAAATTCTATAAACGCACGTTGCTTCTAAATGTGGAGAGAAAAACCGGAGGACCCAGAGAAAAATCCGCGCGGCCACGGGGAGAAGATGCAACTCCAAATATACAGCAGGCGTCACGGTCGGGATCAAACCCACAACCTCCTGTAGACCAGGCGAGGTAGTTAACATCTCTCCACCGTGGCACGCACACTGGCTGACAGCACGCTGTCCTCAAGTGATATTCCTACCCAACCCCAAAGTTTGCTCTTTGATGGGACCCGTCACACACTCATATCTATAACAGATGGTGTTTCTGTGTCAGCCAATGCTGATGTATATTACTGGTGAAGCTTTGAAACTGATTGTAAGCATCATTTTGGAACGCCGGTAATTGTCTTTTAAAACAATAATCACAAACACAGTTTTAAAATAAATTAATAAACACAAACAACGTTTGAAAATAAATTAATAAATACAAACCGCCATTTATTTCAAATGCTTCTTGCCGTTGGTTTTTTCACACCTGATGATGACTGTTTGTGTTACAGTCGAAACGTCGTGAGAATTTTATTGTTTTATATATATTTTATTATTTTATTGTGTCCCTTCAACGTGACTTTACCGAAAGAACCAAGAATATAATGGCAATAGCAGCGTTCTAACAATCATTTGGGGAAAAAAATAAGAACTAACTTTTACTATAAACTGTTGCGTACCTGAACAAACTCAACATTCTCGGTACCAAGTTTAGTCATAACTCACTGAGACTCACGCAAACGCATGATTGTGCAGCCCTGCGATGGCACTCTCACGTGACTGCTGACAGAAGGGGCCTCTGCGAGAGGGAGCTCGAGACAGCCCCTCTGGAGGGCATTTTGACCGACTCCTTACACAGTGGCCAGACGTCTTGGAAGAGTTGGAAATACCCACACTTTACCCCGCCGCACGCGACATGCCAATCGACTGTGTGCCCTTTTACACTGCTGGGTGGACAGAGGCGGCGGTGGGATTTAAGAAACTTGCACCGTTGTTTTTAACTTCCACACCGGGTGGTTAAAATGCTCACCTTTGGATGGAATGTCCCGTGCGCTGACCATTACACCGCGACACCATTCTCTTTTGTTGTCGACAATGGGAGTAGACAAGTGTTGTTAAACAAAAAATGCATATTGTTGGTTTTCACTAGATTTAGATGCATGGAGAGCCACGGACACGTGCTTGGGAAGGGCAGCCAGAACTGGCAACCAACAATTGGCCCCAGCTCTGTGCTCCTATATCGGGATGTTTGGCCAACCCCTTGAATGCGCGTTCATACATCTGGGAGGAAACCAGAGCACCCGGAGTAAACCCACACGCGTAATCCCCGTACAGATGGAATGCAGATGGAAATTAATCCACTTGCTGTACTTCCATAATACCCCATGGAAAGGCTGGAGATGGCGACATCCGCAGCCCATCGGATTTTGGGAGTTTCACAAATTTGCGTGCTCCACCAAACCCTCACTGGCTGCACAGTGTTGGATTACAGGCCATGTGCGTGGCCACCAGCTCCCAGCCAATGCGTTCACGAACGCATTGAAAGAAAACTGTAACACGTCAGAGTTCCACCCAAATTCATGCAACACACCCGCCACCTGGGCCTGAGGTGCGTCGGAGTACGCACGCGTGTACGTCGACATTCTTTCGCACCGTACGTAGACAACCGTGGTCATCGGAAGTGCGGGGAAGGACACGTGTATACGCGTGTGAGTGTGTGAAAGATACGTGTGTGTGTGTGTGGTGAGTGTGGGTGAGACGGGGCAGTATGCGTGGTACGTGTGTGTGTGTGAGATACGTGTACGTGTGTGAGATGCGCGCGCGCGTGTGTGTGTGTGTGGTGAGTGTGGGTTAGACGGAGCACCATGTGTGTGGTACGTGTGTGTGTGTGTGATAGAGAGGCGTGCCGTCGATGGGGACTCACAGAGCATCTTGGTGACGGTGCGCCGTGGCGGGCGCTGCACGCTCAGGCGATTGTCCCCGGCGCCGCCGGGCTGGTCCGCCTGCTGCAGGCGCCTCTCACCGTAGCACAGCTTCTCCTCGCGGAGCTGCGCCACGCACAGCGACAAGGGTCCCGCCCCGCCCGGCACATCCTCTTAAGGGCCGTCCATAAATGGCGTCACGCAATTTTGGACGATTTTTGACCCCCCCCCCCCCACTTCGTCACACGGCGTCACAAAAAGTCAGATACCCCCCCTCAAATATGACGTCACAAAGCTCTGCCCACCCCCCCCCCCCCAAAAAAAAAATGTAAAACATTCTTCAAATCGCTTTAAACTATTGTCATTGTAGTGCGTATTTAATGTGGCGCTGCACTCTGATGTTGTAGGAGAACACATTTATTAAAAATTATATTTAATTAAGTAGAACGTGTTGTTTATATTTATTTAAAGTTTCGCATTGACGTCATTTATGGACGGCCCCTTATTGTAGAAACGGAGATGAAGCGGACAGTTTTGCCCGTCCCTGTTTATCAGAATTGGTGATTTCTAAAAGTTTTGTGGTTTGGCCATGTTTTTGTTTATTGTAGTACGGAGTTAGGCTGATGGCCTTAATATAAGTTTTCTTGTTGTTGTTTGACTTGCATCCCACTGGGATTTTTGCACACAGCGTTGGTGTACGGTGCTATATCAGGAATATGTTGATGTTTTTCCTGAATTTTCTGTTTGCACATGCACAAAGTAACTTTAAGATGTTTTCTTGTTCATGTTTTTGTTTTTTTGTTTGTTGCGGTTGCACTCGATTCAAGAGCCGAATGGCTCACAGGGCTATACCAAATAAGCGAAACTCTGAACTAAACTATGAAAATTAAAGAATTATGATTTTTTTTATTAAATCCTGGAGGAATCCGGTGGGCTATGAAGCTCTTTTCCACAGATGTTCCAGTAGGGGCGGATAAGAACGCCACAATAACAAACATTACTAAACCACGATATGAGTGCAAAGTACAAGTAAGGCCAACAAATCTCCCAAAACACATACAAATACAACGAAACCATCCTATCAGGCAAAGCCCACTGAGCTATTAGTTTATTTTTCATAAGCGACCTGGGCACAAATGAATGCTCAACAACGCGGCTTACATAAATATTATTGTCTTGCTACTCACAGTCGGCACAGGCCCTGCATCGTGATGTACAAATTTACCATCGCAATCATCCCAGTGCTGATGTTGACTCGCCGCCCGAGGCGCTTACTTAATAAAGAAAGAGCAAAGGGCTAGGGCATGTTCCGGTACGAATTTTAATAGGCAGTATGTGAATCTGCAATGCCGGAATCATCATGTAGCGCTACAAATGGACGCACATTGCCGTCATCATTGTCGTTATCATCATCGTGATAATTCAACACTTTATTTTTCAGGGATACTTTTCAAACCAGTCGCCTGAGCTACATTGGCTGAAGTATCGATACACACGAGGAGGCATAGCTCCTTTAAGGGGAAACGCGTGTCGTCTACATGCAGGTGATTTGGAATTTGCTTGATGGAAAACAATTGCCTTGTTCTGCAAATTACGTCATGCGTTTTTTGCCACTCAATTTGCAGAAGATGAAGGACTCTGGTGATTTCATCAGAAACGAATCTAGTTTATGAGCAAATTGCTATAATTCCACCCCATGTATAGTGTGTGAATACTAAACTATTCACCCACCAAAGACAAATATCCCCCTTATAGCCTTAACGGGCTTTTGGGGCAAGTGCCGTTAGCGATAATTTATTGAAGGCATTCACGGCACATGAGGGGGTGGCTGGCCAGCCACCGGCCCGGCCGCCTTTATCTCCCTAATGGCAATGTTTACACACAGATACTCAGTTGAGGTTGAGTTGACTTAGGTGAGGCCCAATACCGGTTCAGATAATAGTCACCATTACGCCACCACTCCCCACATGCACACACACACTTGCTCTCCAGTGGTGGTTGATTCATTGTCAAAATTTTGGGTCTTTACAATTACAATTAGGATGTCGCTTGCATCATCATGATCATTATCATCATCACAATCAACGTAATCAGTTACAATATTCGAATGAATCAATTACCATCAGTCATCATAATGTAACATTGTAGGTGTATTAACCGTACAAATTTTCGCACGGTCTGCTTCACAGTGGACGTTAAAGATCCCGTGACGTCATTCGCAAGAGTGACCATTGTGTGCCGGCGTCATGGTCTAAATTTGCAACGATTGGAAAAATAACACGGCAAATTACTTAATAGGAATATCCATGGCGACCATCGCCCTTTGATTCAAACACTTGGCAGGACTCTCCTGAAAAAGAGGCACGAGACTCAGTGAGATTTCCCGGGATAAAACAAGTGGAATAATGAACGAAAAACATAAATTGCTAAATACAATAACGTCATCAGCATCACCATCATCATGATAACCTTTGTGATAAAAAGATTATGGGACGGGTGGTGAGATAAAACAAGTGGAATAATGAACGTAAAAATAAATTGCTAAATACAAAATCGTCATCAGCATCACCATCATCATGATAACCTTTGTGATAAAAAGATTATGGGACGGTTGGTAGGCAGGGTGGGATTAAGATTTTGTAGGCCCCTGGGCTACAGGTACTGTGAGGCCCCCAGTAATATTTTCAAAAGGAAAACAAAGTTAAGGAAAACTATAATTTATTTTCACAAGGCTAACAACAAATAAAATTCAGCATTCACAAATGAAATTCCATTTCACTTAATCTCTGGAGGCCCTCCAGATGGCAGCCCCTGGGCTGCAGCCCCTAAAGCTCCGTGCCTGAATCTGGCCCTGGTTTTTTTTCTACCAGTATGTTGAACTTCTTTCGCACCGTACGTAGCCAACCGTGCTGATTGGAGAACCTGTAATTAAGAAATCCGTTATGACAAATTAGGAAGGAGGGATGGGGCATCCACGTCCCAAACACAACCAACTACTATGAGACATCACATTGCACCCTGCACGTACAATCCCAACCTCTGCCTCCCGTAGCTCTCGCGACACGCTCCATGCATTCGGCAACAGAAAGTTGGAATTGGCTTAGCATGCAATCCTAAAGGACATTCGGCAATGACTCACGCACAAGCGTAATGCAGTCGTGGGGGTTTGACCGCATGAGTTTCATATTCACATCGGTTGTCCTCCAACCAAACAGGAATTTGCAATACGTGTCTGCTAGTTCGTTTTGACCTTGTCAGAGTCCATTTAGAAGAAAGCCTATTTTTAATGGGAGACCTGACCTGTAAAATTACAGAATGAGCATCTGCAAAAATTGGGATCCAATGATTTACCTGCCCACGATGATTCAAAGAATGTTATGATTTAGGGGTGTGATCCGATTCTGGAATATATATTTTTGAGTGGCTATAGAAGTGTGGCTGCAGGAGTGACTTGAACCGATGACATCAAATTTATGTTAATAAAAAAAACATTGATTCATATATTTGAGATTTGATGCATGTGTCGTGAGCTTAGACATTTATATGAATTTACGAATTTATGCTTTATCCACCTCGATTCGACACCTAGTGAATCTACGTCATCAGAATGGAACCGGAAGAAAAAATAAAATAACTTTTCGGTACCAAGGTTCCCACAAGGCCTTGCGGGAGGGCGTGTAGCACAGTTTGGTGCCAGCTATCATCGAGTGCGGTCGTGTCGCTACGGTTCTCTGCAGTGAGTACAGTGTCTTTAAAACAACGGTGCTATGCCTCTATATTTAGAATTAATGCTGAGCCGCTTGCTCAGCATCAATGGGACGCCCACCCTGCCACTTGTAGTCATCTTGGAACGGCAAAGAGTGACATGTAAAATATGTGATCATCATAGGAAACATCAAAAGAGAAACCTGACGATGTCCCAAGGTGCAAGGAAGTTTATGCGGGCTGCATAAGCAATATGGGTTCTTAAACAATGTAGCACATAACACAATCTACCACAGCACACATAATACACACGTGATAGGTTTTGTTTCCAAATTACTAATTGTAGGAGCAATTCTACATGTAATATAACATTGACCTTCACCTCAATATGCAGTCATGTATTGCTGGATGTTAAGAACCAGATCTGAAACGCCTACTTAATAGCAGGTGATGTTGTGCAAACGTTGTCAGACGCTGTGGAAATAAAACAGCTGCATTCACGCTCTGCCTACGCAAATTGGCTCAGGCAATTTTAGCGGGGGCACAGCCACACTCGGGATGTTGTGGCACGTTCGAAAGGTGAATGGCTCCCACTGGTTATTGATTTGGCTACTGATGCACAGTGGGCCGTTACATGCGGTCATTAATTCCCGTTACTGGCTTTGACGATCCTCCTCGAAGACGATGGTGGAACCATCCACCGCAGCAGAGCATCGCCGCAAGACCGATGCTGCTCGCGTCTCCTTCGTGAAGGTAAAATAAAAGCCACAAGCCACAGTTATCCGACTGTGGCCAGGCAGCCCAAACTGTGGACGATATCGTAAACTCACTGTGGTCTGCGCTCCTTCAATGGAAGAAAAGCAACACGATACCAACTCTCTCCTGGAAGCCCTCTCGTGACTAGCAAACATCGACATTGGCATTTAACTCATAAACATTTTGCCATCATACGCAATAACAATGTTGCCACACTATATATATAGGACTGACAAAACTTATTTACACACACACGTTTCACGAAATTGAATTGCTGTTCTATAATTGCATTGAATTCACACAACTACTGGTTACTGACTCATTCCTGAGCCAATTGATCGTGTGCTCCTGCGTATTTAGAGGTTCAGTCATCAGCGTAAATCGCGACTTATGATGTCACCTTGTTGAAGGGAGAAAACACGCGGAATCACAAACAGCATGAGTTTTTGTCCAACATGTTGTGGGTGTCTCTGTAACCATCGTATAAAGATGGTTGGGGGTGATGTTAACAACCGCGACACACACAGTGGCTGAGCCCCTGCTGTTTAGCAACACACGTGGAGATGTGTTATACACAAGGAGGCAAGGATACAAAAAGGTATTCTGACACATAGGGTACAGAAATTACATCTTTCAGTGCTTCAAATGGGGAATCGTGCTCGGCG